AACTTTAACTTTCCAGTAAATGTAGTAATTTTTCTAATTCCTCCAAGAAGAAGTAGTCATCTAGATTACTGAGATGCAGTGGGTCTGACACCTAATTTTTTTCTCCTTCAAAAACAAGGCTTATATCCACAAGAAGAAAAGAACAAGAAATTCAGGAAATCCTCAGCTTGCTACTAGTGTGCCCTCACATTCCTAAGAACTATTTTTGGGTTTTCCCTTAGGAATAGCTAGAACTTGTTGAGCTGGGAAAGACTTCTTGGAACAGATCTTTGGCTTTGTCTTTTCTGCATGAGCGCCTCGTGTTGATGTTGGAATAGCTACTATTGGCTGGTTAGTGATTCAGAGAATGAGGCAAGTCAGTCCTATAAAAGCAGCTTCTCCACTCCACAATATTTGGAAAAATATGTTGCAGCAAGCTGGTGAGCATAATAGGATAAACAATTGCCTCCCTTTGGTTAGGGTTAGGACTACCCCAAGAGGTCTGTCTGACTCTCTTCTGGATGTTACTACCTGCAGTTTTGTTAAAACTTGAGAAATATCAAAATATTGGTGAAGAGGATACAAATACGCTCCCTTCTGTCTCCTTATAGCCCCAAGCACCCCATGTAGTTCTGAGATCGCTCAATAAATCGTGTCTGAGATCTCTCAATAAATACCTCAACAGATTGGAAATCTTAGCTACCAAAGGATTTGTTTCAATTAAATATTTTGTATTTAGGGTTACCGTGTGCAGACTAGCTAACAATGTGCAGGTATCTTTTTAACAAATACCCTACCAACATATCTGAGGCTGTTTGAGTTTTCAGGCTAGGATCAGGTGCAGTGCGGCACACTTTGATAAGGACTTGGAATGATCACAGCATTTCTCATATGCATGGTTTGTTCTTCAGTGGGGAAAAAATAAGTGTCATTTGAACTCCTGTCTGCATTTGTTCCCAACGCTGTCTCTTGTGTTTTTTTCAGTGATAATTTAAACACTTCTGTAGGGTAACAGGCTTTTCAAAAACATCTGCAAATACTGCTTAAGTATTTTAAAAGATGTGTTGAGAGGATGTGTTGAAGGAATGAATGGAATGACTGGCATCTGTGTTAGCTTGACACCGCACCACTTGTTACCTCTTAGAAACGACAGGAAAATTCTGAGGAAGAACCTTCATCCCAAATGAAATGTGAAAGTATGTAAGGCTTAATGAAGCTACGTGTGACAAGGCAAAGAAAATCACATGTACTCTTTAAAAGGATTGAGTTTGCTCCCTGTTTTGTTGTTGTTTTTTACCTAGTCAGACCAGACTATCTGTGGTGTTAGATATGATGGTGATCTATGGTGACGAATCTGTGGAGAGTTTTTTCCCTTGCTAGTTGCAAAAAAGAACGGAACAGCAAGCTAGTCACTGAGGTACTTCAGAGTAGCTTTGGACTTTAAAGAAAGTTCAAGGCAGTAAGTGCTTAATTTGTATTGCATACATGAAAATTAAATTATAGCATTTCTCCCATTCTTTCTATGAAGAGCATTTCTCCCGTTCTTTTGTGTGTATGCCATGTTTGGTTTAATGGAGAAATGAGAAAAGAAAATAGATTCTTTTTTGGAGACTGGGTACTAATGCAGTAACATTAAAGGCAGGCACATTGTTGTCAGCCAGTTTGCATATTTATTTACTTTTACAAATGGTTGGCTTGGAGTCAGCAGTTAATGGAATGAGAATGATGTTCCTGTACAGATCATTTCCTGAGAAACATTTTCAATTACAAACATATCTCTGCTTTTCTTTCCTCATTTGTTATGTCTTGGAGAATAAATGGGGAGTAGCATTTACAACTTAAGGTTTATGTTCTGAAGACAATTTTAACAATGATCCCCACATAAAAAGGCCCCTTTGTAGTTGCAGACATATGTTTATGATGTTTTGTGCTGTGAATATCAAATTTCTGGTGGACGCTGTGTCACACTCTGCAAACTTGTAAACATCTATAAATCCATTGGATCATTTTAGTACCATGTGTAATGCAGATTTATTGTCTTTTGTGTGGATTTCTTTTGTTTCAGAGTTAAAGCTGAGCTGCCAAGATCCATATTGGATGAATTATGTATTCAAGAAAATTAGGCAGTACCATTTTAGATTAATATTTTCTTTTCCCTTTGTGGACTTATAAGATGCACACACATAAGCATTAGAAAATAACATTTTGGATGGATGGTCCAGAAAACAATTGCACAAGTTTGCTTGACTAAATAGTATCATTCTGTAAAAGCTTAAACTAGGACTGTTTGAAAATGGTTTTGCTGGTTTTTCTCTCATTCTCTGACCACCTTAGGTAATTTGGATCTCTTCTCCATTTGCCAGTACAAATTCAGAATTACTCCACTGGAATTCTGTCTGCGTAGAAAACTGGGAGTATGTGAGGGGGAGTAGGAATCACACTGAGCCAGTGAGCTGATATAAATCGGCATAAATCCACTGAGTTCTGTGTGGATACAGCCATTTACGCTCAAGTCTTCATTGCAGACTATCAAGTCAGTAGAAGAAGTAAAGCAGCTCTTGTGCACAAGTGGTTACAAAAGCAAGCTGTCAAGGTCATGAGCATTTATGAGAAATTTGCACCGAGTAAAGAGAAAATGAAATAAGAAACTATTCATCTAAATTTGGGTCAACTGTAATGGAGTAGATATCTCTGTACAAGAGCAGTAAAGACATTTGTTATTGAAAACATAATAATGTTTATTATGGCTGTAATTTCTGGCTGCATACGTAAACATATGCAGCACATGCATGCATGTTTGAATGCGGGTGTATGTACAATTATCCAGTGTTACTCTGGCAATATGATGTCTTCAGCTGGCCTTCCAAGTTGTGCTTGTTCCAGGAAAAAGTAGCTTAAGGTAGAGACATGGCACGTAAAGCTACTGTCTGCCATAGTAGTTTATAATAACAGGTAGTTTGTCCTTTGACTTTTTATACAAAGCTTAAACTCATGTAGTCATGTGAATGTCAACAAATCTCAGCTCCCACAAAGAAACCCACCAAAAAACAAACCAAAGTATTTGCAACCTTAAAAATGGCAGAGAAGACCTTGAATGGAAAACCCTTACATTAAAGAAAGGAACTTAAAGTTTAGGTAGGTGTATATGCATATATTTAAACCTCCTGATTTTGAAAGATTGAGGTTAGAAGCATTGTGTCACTGTGCTCCTCCAACATTAGGGTTCGGTTCTAGTTAATCACAAACTTTCAGAATTGATTGTAGCACTTCAGTAGTTTTAGTTTTGTAAGTACGGAATCAATTATATGGAAAGACATGGCTGTAGCACTCGGAGGAGAGACTATTTAACACTACATCTTGCTGTATTTATTTTATGATTCTTTGAATAGATATGCTAAAATACATCTGAACCACAGAGAGTGCATTGGATGATGTGGCATTACTGAGTTCAGTTAAATAGTAAGATGTGTTTTATTCAAATCAGAATTACATTAAGCCCTGAATACTAAACAGGGCAGCAAAAAGCCTTCAGCACACAAAATAAACAAGTAAAAAAACCAAATTAAACTGTCTAATAAATACAATGTGGAGCAACAGGCTGCATGTACTAGAGGAATTAAGCCAATTTAAACCGTAGGGGCAGTACTCCCCTTTCAGATGTGCTCAGCGTCCAACGGTTTCAATGGCAGTTGGATGCATGCATCAAAGGGCAAAGTCTGGCTCAGAGCACCCGTGTGGATTTGATAGCATAGGTTTATGACCTTGTAATCCTAGAGCATCTAAAACAGTAAGAACTCTATCCAGCTTAAAATAGCTGCTGTAGTTGCTGTTGATACAAGCTTGTGGGCTCCCCAGATCTGGGGCCAAATTTGGTGCTGGCATGGTAGGAGGAAGTCTGTTGACAGCTGATAGCAGTGGAGTTGCACTTGATTACATCATAACAAATTTGGCACGTGGAGCTGAATCAGAAGTCTGAGCAGAAGTGTCCATTCCTTATCCAGAGTTAAAACTGGGACTTTCACATTGCCAATCCACAGAGATTTGTCTGGGCCACGTGTAATTGTTGCTTTTAAGGGTCTTGCTCTAAAAGTATGTGCAACCCCCAGTTCTATTCAGCATGGTGACTGTAAAAAAACCATGAAGGACTGAATTTTCCTCTCCGGTCCAAAAGGATAAAGTCCCTAATCATGCCAATATAAGCGTGATGAGAACAAGCCCCATGGTAGCTAACACACCAGCCACAGCAGAGGGTGAGAACAGAAAGGTGCTCTTAACTCTAATTGCTGGAGTCATCCAGTGGCCAAGGATGCCTGATGTCAAGCAGACAACTCTGTGGATACTGTCCTTCAGAGGGACTGCCGCAGGTCCCAGTGCACTGGTCTGGCTCCTGGCAACTGGTGAGGTATAGATGAACTGCTGCAGCTATGTCCCCTCCTCCCTTCCTGGGTCTTTACACTGTAAGACTCAGGGTGGAGGTCTTACTGATGCTCCAAGTCATTCCTCAAAGTATTTCCAGAAATTAGATTATTTTATTGTAATAGCTGCTGCAAGAATTGTCCCAAACCTGTGTGCTTTGTTTTTATTAAAATACTAAATTGCTGAAGTGATTTTCATGAAAATTAATTAAAATAAATTAATGAAAAGCAGATGAAAAATGGATTCCTCTGCTGAAACTGTGGTATGCAAACTCTTAACCTCAATCACATTTTTGTGGTTCCTCTATAAACACCTAAGTGTATAATAGTGGTTTGTCATGGAACATTTTTGATGGGCATTCTTAGAAAGTGAGGCTATACTACATAATACATTTTCTCTCCCCATACGTACAATTTGATATAATGCGTGTGTTCTTACCTGCTCCTTTTAGTAGCATTATTAATCTGTAGTTAAATCTTTTCTTTTCAGTATTAAGAAATGAAAATGATGCTATCAGGCTCAGGGTTTCTCCATCATGTGTTCTGCTTGTAGGGGACAGGAGGGCAGGAGGAGTCTTTATTATGAGACTAATACCAACCTTGGGCATGGGTTGTGCACTGCAGAGTGCAGTGGCTGAGGAGGAGCTGTCCTCTCTAGCCAACTGGATCCATCTGGGATCTTTGGATCATCCAGAGGTGTGTTGGGTAGGTTCTGCATATGGCTCAGGCAGGTGTGAGAAATGTATGCGATTCAGTTGTGCTGCCTGGGGCAACAAGACCACTGCTTGTGTATACCTGCGTGCAGCAAAGCAGGACTTCGCCCCTGCTGTACGATAAATAGAACACTTGCAATGCACTCTAGAACAACGTATTAGTTTCTCATATATATTTATTATTATTTTATTTGTATTTTATGTTCTCTTTCAATGCAAAGATATGGCATTTTTTTGTTTGCTTTCTCTTATGTTCTGAAACTCTGATAATATGATGAAGGTCATGTCATTAAAAGTAGAATGTAATAATTGTGCACATTGGAGGACAAATATGGGGATGTTCAGTGGGCCTTGTACAGAATACCTTACAAAACATTCAGCCTTGAAAGGTCCACTCAGTCTCCCTGCAGAAGTGTCAGTGAGCTCTACCAGTGAGTTGCTCCCTGGAGAGAGGAGCCAAAAGCTTTCCCCACTGTCCTTCACTGGGAAAATGAGCTGACTGTTTCCTCCAGTGTATCTTGCCCAAGCAGAGCATCCAGCCCTTCAGGATAGGAGAGCTCAGTGGAGCCAGTTGGCTTGAACAGATTTTATTTACTATGCTCCCTCTTGGGATTGATGTGAAAAAAACATTTTCTGCCCAGGAACTGTTGTGCAGAGGTCCCTCATGAACTAAACATTTCAGAACAGAAAGACCTCCACATGGAAGTTTTCTATCCACTGATGTTTTTATGCCCATAACCATTTTGAACTGAAATGAAAAAAAGTATTAAAAAAATCAAAGAGGTTAATAAAACCAACAATTATTTTCTCTAAGGAGTGCTAGCAGTTCAAAAAATTGCCATTAAGTGTAAACAGTTCCTGAGATTGTACATGCTGCACCAAATTCATCCTTGCTATAACTCCTTAGAACTCAATGGAGTTACATGAGGGATTAATTTGGTCCATTGCTCTCAGCCATCAGTTTTAGAGGATATACAACAATCCAGGGAACTATTATTGTCAGCATTATTTTATGACTCTTCAGAGCGGCTCAGTATTTGTATTTTACAGATACACAAACAGGATGAGGGTATGGAGTAAAGTTAGTATTTCAGTATTGAAGGTAGTGGATTTTTCAAAGTTATTTTTGTACAGTTAAAAGTAATAAACACCTAACAGCCATTATTGCTATGAATCTTACATAGATGCCTGAATACAGCTACACAGACTCTTGAAATGTGCACAGGCATTTCATCTGACAGAGCACAAAACAATTCACAAAGCGTAGAAAATATTTGGAAGTTTTAAGTATTGTTATCACACCAGCTGACTAATTATCACAGTGTTCACATGAAACTTAGCTGTACTTATCACACACAGAAAGTGAAGGCAAAGAGGTAAAACTCTTTTCCAAAAGCTAACTTACGAGGCAGTCACAAGTCCAGGAACAAAACACAAGATCTCTACTGTCACTTTCTACTTTTCTGTTTTCTCCAAACTAAATTGTTTCTGTAATTTTCAAAACAAACAGAGGAAAGCCTCAGGTAGTAAATCTGAAATGTTAGACGGTGAATCTGCATCTGCATTTAGTTCATGTCAGAAGATGTGTATACAGCTACCTGAATCTTTAGAACACATGTAGGAGGGTTGAATTAAGTTATTTAAGTTTAAACTCCGACTAGAACAGTTGTGCTAACAACCAGTTCTATTGAAGGTCTGTACACTGGAAAATGAGCGATCAAACAACATTACTTACTTGTCATTCATAAGAAAGCGAGCTTCTTCCTGGTTTGGTAAATCAGGTTTGCACTGATTTCTTGGTTACAAAGCAAGATACAAACTTGTCTGATCACCAGAGTGGTGACCCTCCCTGCACAGTGCTATGTGTTCTTCCATAGCGGTAGGGTTAGTATACTGGCTTGTTCGTGTTTATTTTCTTCTGTTATGGAAGCGTGTTTGGGCAGTGAAGGAAGGGTTTTGCCTTTGCAACCTATTAAAGCTTGGGTCACCCAGAGGAATGAATGAAGTTGCTGTGAACTCTGCCAGGTACAGAACCTGTACAGTACAGAACTAGCAGCAGGACTGTTTTTACAATTCTTCTCTGGACCCATCTGTTCCTATGTTCTCAGAGCATGTATTACAAGAACATTGATTTTTGCAGCATTAAGGGACTTCGGCAAAGTAAGAACTCCTCCATATTTCCTGACAACTGTGGGTATCTCCAAACTATGGTATTTTTGATTACTGCCCCATTCCCATGTCCACGTGATTTTTCAAGCTACGTCTGGTCTCTAAGGCAGTACTTCTGAGGGCTCATCATTGTACGCCTGTGTCCTGCTGCCATGGTTTCTGATAAAGAAAGGCCTATAACAGGAGACCAGAAGCATCCCACAGTCTGCTCTAGCCTGTCTCTGAGCTTAACAACAGAGAGAGCCGCGTACTGTGACTGCACCTTCAGTCCTAAATAGTTAGCAGTCTGGCAGCTCCTGTGTGAATATATAGCCAGACCCAGCTCTTCTCAAGTAGCTGAACTTGAAGCATCTCCAGAGCAAGGGTGACATAGCTGAAACTGGTGATCATTTCCCTCAGCTAAAATGATTCATTAGTGTGAAAATGTGAGGACCATTATAATGCAAGGGAGCCTTTTAAAATTTGAGGACAGTGGGCCTTATCCTGGAAAATATTTGAGGAAATTGCATTGATTCCAGTACCATTATCCATGAAAAATCTACTCATACAACTAAAGGTTTGTTGGCTGGGCTTCCCATTTTCATCAGCTGTATTTTATTGCTGTGATTACACCTAGTGGCTTATCTAATAGAGTCATGTTCTTATAGAGAAATTAAGACAATTAATGCCACTTTTAGCAAGAGTGAAATAGTAACTAAAATTGAATTGAAATTTGACCAAGCTCTTCTTTTTTATTTCCTAGTATCTGAATTACAGGAAGAAGGAATAAATGCCATTAACTTACCTCTCAGTCCAATTCCGTTCGAACTAGACCCTGAGGACACTATGCTAGGTAATTCACAACAATTTTACATCTCAACATAAAAGCTTGACATAAAATAAAGTGTCATGCCTGTAATCATTTCTAATATATTTCTTTTAAACCTTCCAGAGGAAAATGAAGTCCGAACAATGGTTGATCCAAATTCAAGAAATGACCCAAAATTACAAGAACTAATGAAGGTAATGAAAAGCATGTAAATACTTTCAGGAAAGTGAAACTATTTTTTAACACTGTTCCTCTCTCTTTCATTTGAACACTTTGAAGCGCTGTTTAGATATTAATTAAATGAAACTATGTGGTGTGTACATCCCAGTGGAATGGGAAGGTCATTTGTTGCAGTATCTTTCTCTAGATATGGCACAGAGAGGCTTAAGAATTTGGATTAAAATCCTGAGCCTGGATTCTTAGTCCCATCTCACCCCCAGTCTGAGATCACACCGACTTCCTGTGTAGTCTTTGCGATTCTTGGGGTTAGAACTTTAGCGGGAAGATTCATTAGAATTTACTTTAACACCTTTTGCTTCACAGTAAAACGTTAAAATACTACTGAAAGCAAAAGGATAGATTTCACTCCAGAAGGCACTGCATCAGTCTGGTATTTGTCTAGACCTCGTGGTGCACTGACACAGCCACCTTAGCAGAGTCCTTCTTAAGTCCTTCCTATTTTCTTCTGATGGTATTTCAGACTGATTGTATTTTGAGCCATTGCAGCTTTGGTATTCTTTCTGCTAAATATTTTCATCATCGTACAAAATGACATGTGTTTTAAATTGCAAATGAATAGTGTATAATACTGCCAAATTTGTGTTTCCCATATAGGTATTAATTGACTGGATTAATGATGTGTTGGTAGGAGAGAGGATTATTGTGAAAGACTTGGCTGAAGACCTGTATGATGGACAAGTATTGCAGAAATTATTTGGTAAGAAAAAAATATGTGCATGCTGTTGGGGCACTTTGTCAGTAAGTGGATCACTTGTTCCTACTTAGGAGCCTTGGTATCATCTTACATTTATGCCACTAAGTGATATAAAAATAGCATTGTATTATGAGGCCCTTGAGCAATAAGGCACAATCCTTATAGCTACAGTGCAATGTGTGGTGCTCTGTAGTTGATGAGAAGAGCATAAAGCCTACCTGGGGTGCTAGAAAGGGAGGGTTTTTGTCTTGGCAACAGTATTCACTCCAATTAAATTTATTATCTGCATATGTGCTGTACAAACTTAACCGTGTTACAAGTGGAAAGTAAGTTTGAAGGCAAAGGTATTTTCAGTACAATGGTGGATGTTTTTAATCTCTGCTGGTTCCATACTATAGCTTATTCACATTGCAAAGTTCCTCTGGAAAGTTGGAATTTCTTTCTGATTTGATGTCTGGCTTTTAACGTTACTGAGGTAATGGTACCCAGCGGACTGCAAACTGAGCTTCAACTGAGAAACAGATAGAGAAAAGAAACTGCTAATGCAGAGCTGGCACATGCTTTTTTACCTGTTGGCGTGGAAGCCATTTTCTTAGTTATTACAGCTCATAAAGTCTCCAGTAAATTTCTTTTCAGTATCTTAAATGAATCTTGAAACATTATGTGAGCATTTCTAATAAAGACTACAGAGACTATTCCCTTCTATGAATGGTTAAGCTATTGAATATATTGTGATGGACTGGATATGCCCCAGACTGAACAATTTGATTCTCATGGGCAGACCTCCAGTGACTTCACCCAAAACCCAGAAAACGTGTATCAGATACAGCCTGACTCTAAATATGCGTATACTGATCCAGCACTTACTGATTTCAGTGGAATCTTTTCCATTAACCTTAACTCCTTGTGGATCAGGTCTGTGCTAAATACAGACTCTGGTCTTGTTGTGAGACTATGCACAGACCAATTTCTGTGAAGGCACAAGAAACCCATGGAGATAGCAACCTCATGGGCAGGATTCATAGGCTGGTAGCTCAGGCTCACTCTCTTTGGGAAGATACTCAGTTGACTTTGAAGAGAACAAAATCAGCTCTTACAAAATAATATATCTCTTAATAAGACATTCTTTTGTAGAAGTAAATTGATAGGCGACCAAGCATTTTGTTTCTGGTCTTTTTATCAGGGAGCTTTTACTGCTAAATTTTCTTCACTTACTATTTAATGGTAAACACTAAGCCGTGTATGTATATACCTATCAGTCTGTACTAACTATTAACAAACCAATTCATAAAGTATTTTAAAATCTACTGCAAATTTTGAGTGCAGAAAAGGTCTGTGGCTTCATAGAAAGAAATTGCCCAAGGTTTTAGTTGTTTTCATACCTCCAGAAATACTTGTTCACATTTCTTGGGTGCATCCTCCACCTCTGTGAGTACGGTGTCACTTCTATCACAAATGGGCCAGGTAAAATTTCTAAATCTCCCGAGTCCGAGAGGGAAGCTGGGAGGCTGAGACTGGTGAAAAAAATCTTCTTAAAGTTGGTATCTGTTTCCTGGATTTGATGGTCTGCCGTACAAGCCACTTGCATACAGAATAACCTTTATCCAGTAGCAATAGACTTAACACGCCTTAGCTCCAAGTCTGGTGTTCCCTAAAGGGAGTTGCAGCAAATATTTATTAGCCAGTAGTGTGGCTTTCGTAAATACTTGGCCTTCCCCTTGGCAATGGGTAAATAAAGGGAAAATGTGAACTGTATCTTTAGGAGCTCAGCAGTGTGGGGGAATCTGGCTCTGGAAGGAAAATCAGATAATTTGAAAACAAGGAAGTCTAAAATCTCTTGAATGTGCACCTGGGTTCATGGAATGTCTTTGTGTTCTTCATGGAGTTGACAATGGTTTTTCTTCTGTTTTTTCTTCTGTTATCACTTCAGAGAAACTTGAAAGTGAGAAGCTGAATGTAGCTGAAGTTACCCAGTCTGAAATTGCTCAGAAACAGAAGCTGCAGACAGTGCTTGAAAAGATCAATGAAACCCTTAAACTCCCTCCAAGAAGCATTAAATGGAACGTTGACTGTAAGTTGTGTGTTTTCTATGCTGTTCTTATTTGTTGACAGCCGAGAGTTTATAGCTGCTATCTGGAATTCTGAAATATCCAATGATAAGGGAAGGCTGAAACCCGTGTGGTAGGAGCTGCTCTGCAGGGCACTTCCAGATGTGGTATGCTCTACCCTCTTTACTGGTGCTCAACCTTCAGTTTAAATAAACTGTCTTTTCAGAGTCTGTCAAACGATGGTATTTCTGCTCTTAAATCCATATGCATACCAGCTTAAGTTTGCCGTTACTTAGCTGGTTATTGAAATGGGAAGGTGCCTGTATAAAGGTGCCTGATAGGCAGAAAGAGAGTTAGGTATTAGTACTGCTTGTGTAAAATTTGAAGCATAGATACGAATAATATTTCTGATTGTTTAAGACTAAATCTGAACCACTGATTTTGGTTACAAAACTCTCAAGATTAGGATTGCACCCTTCCTTTTTCATTGTATGAACCGTGAACATAGTAATATCTAATAAAATGCCCTCAGTGGCCCAGCACAAGACATTTTAGTGCATATGTGTTGCAGAAAGCAGGTTATCTGCAGTTTTAGAAAATTAGGCCTCTTAATCTGTTTCAAGTTTGGTATCCAGAATCATTTCACACTGGTGAATAGGTTGGCCAGTATATAAGTTTCCCTGTCTCCTATACCTGTCTTGAGCTGAGCTGCTTTGTATCTTGTTCCATTCACAACAAATTAGTGAGAGGAAGAGAAATAGCTCGAGGGAGGAAGAGTGAGCATCAGGCATCTCTGACTTTCCTTTTCGTGTGGTCCCACTGAGTTTTCTGTCCCCATCTCTCTTCAACCTCCCCCTACGTTTTTTCCATTCTCTGTTATGCAGCTGGATGCAGGGTGTTTGGAGTGGCCTGACAATTCAACTTCTAGTTTTAATTTAATGTTTTACATGTGTTTTAGAGCTAAAGTAGAGTTAGACAGCAGCAGCTGGAGCCAGCTGTAGCACACACCGGTGCTAGGCAGACAGACAGCTTTTCAATGTTCTGCTAAAGCACCTCATCCATGACCACTGACACCCCAGCAAAATCTGACAGCGATGCCACATTTTATACAAATGGATATCTCCACGGCATAGTTGAGACTTGCATTGGAAGATAATGAAGAATGATATTTTAGTGAATCTGATGCTGCTTTACCAGGGAAGTAAGGTAGTAGTTACTGGTTAGTTCAAGCACAAAGAACATAAGCGTACCGTGCTGTAGCTATCAAAGATCATTTAGGATTACTACTCTGGGGAAGACTAAATGCAAAAGCTAGAAGAAGAAGAAAGGCAATAATAACAATTAGAAATGATTTACTTTCATGCCAATGGTTTGATACTTGATTAAGGATTTCCTACAGTATAGCTTTTGATATCTTGTAAGTTGTGTTAGTGTTAACTACCCATATGAAACCTGCTGTGAAAAAGCTTCAATAACAAGAACTATAACAACTTCATGAGGAATGTTTGAGTCATTGAGTTTAGTAAGTTATTGCTTAAGGCTTCTGCCAAAATAGGCTCGTTTATCATCCTACAAACATTGTGACACTTAAAAATGAATAAGTGCATGTTACGAGTACAAAAATATCTTTCTGATAGTCCATAAATCCTTATTGAAATAAAGGGAATAAAGGAAAGGCAAGGAGAATGCAGAGACAGCACTTAAACTGCTGTACATGAAATCTGGCTTTTGGATTAGCTTTAGATTTCCATCTACACAAGCCCATGGCATCCAGTCATGTTGCAAAAACTAACACTTTGGTGCTGGTGCATATTACTGACTGGGCTGCGTTTGCATGAGCAGGAGGAGACCAGTAAGGAGAGGTGCCTTAGAAATGCCCCCTGGCTCCAGGCGGCAAGAGGAAAAGAGTCCCATAATCCCTACATCCTAAAAAGTAAAAATATGCGCCCTAGTTACTTTGCAGTTTGTAACCTGTGCTTTTAATATCTATTTCAGCTGTTCACGCTAAAAGTCTTGTAGCAATACTTCATCTTCTGGTTGCATTATCACAGTATTTCCGAGCACCGATCAGACTCCCAGATCATGTGTCCATTCAGGTGGTTGTTGTGCAGGTAAGAGAGGTGTTAAACAGCTCTTGGTAGTGTTGTGAAATTGGCTGAGGGGCTTCTTGAAAAATACATCTGGAGTTTCTGTTTGGGCGGGCATGCGTGTGTCTCTTTGGCTGACAAGAAACACATGTGTCTTCCCTGCTGACAATGCTTCAACCAGAAAAAGGCAGAAGCGCTTTCCTAGATTGAGCTGTGGCTCAGAATATCTTATTTTGATTGTGAAGTGGCCAGACTCTGGCATTAAAAATATATGAAGCATTATTATTGTTGGAATGTGTTTGTTTATCACCCAGTATGATCTCTAGAATTATTATTTTTCCCATTTTTGACGGTCTTCTCACTTGTGTAGAGATTCAAATCATTCTTGGCACTGAATGATGAATTGTCACTGTTTATTACATTCAGATTCATGTTAGGTGACTAAATATTCTTTTTCAGCCTTGTGCATGCTAATTTAGTCTGATTACAGTGTTGGCTTTCTCATAAGCATGCAAAAAAACCCCATCAGCTAAATCTTTTGTGTCAGTCTGTCTCCTTACTAGAGCCTCATCCATCCAAACTCTTCGTATTATTTTGCTCATGATTTTTCTTTCAGTTGGACTTGTGCTTGCTCTATCTTACTTGGCCTCTTCCCATTTAATAAGCTTTTCTTTCTCTCAGATTAACTTTGCCTTTATTTTTCACACTGTAACTGTCTTTATTTATGTGTTTTAACTGATGTTGCCCTGAAGTATCTGGTGCAAAGAGCTATTGCTCAAGTTTTGTGTGACTGAAAATCTGTGGGACAGAGCTGAGAAAGTAACCACTCCTTTTTCCAGCATTCAAATCAGACAAATTTTGTAATTTGGGGAGAAATCTGAAGGAGAGTCTCTGGTAGATGTATCACTGACGCCTGATAGTGACTCATTGACTCTCAGATTCTGCTTCACGAGTTTCTCCACAGAGGATGAAAGAGAGCCCCAGCAAATCTGCATTTATGTGTCTAAGGCTTCAGAGGAACATAACTTTCAAGCACTTTCCTTTGGTTATTATAAACATATTAATTACACTAGTTTATCTCAAAATTCTACCAAAACCAGCTTGAGAAATCAGGAGTGCAGTGGTCAGAGCATCTTTGGGATGAGAAACTAAACCAGAAAAAGAACACAGTCTTAAAATAAAGAACCAGATCTTGCGTTCTGCTGTCACTCCATATGTCCAGACAAAATTCCCGTTGAAATCAATGGACGTAATTGTCCTCTTGTTTAATAGGCTAATGTAGTTCAACGGCAAATCCACTGAAATCAGTAGAGATAAACCAATTTAAAAACAATAAGTAGTGGGAGAATCTGGCTCACTGCTTTGCCTCTTAGCTACACAGCTGTAGCTCAGGCGCCAGTGAATTGTAGAGAAAGCAGTTGCACCAGAATAAAATCCAAGTAATGTTGCAGAAGATTTTGCCCTGCAGACCCAGCCCTTGGTGAAAGCCAATCAGTGGAATTCCAAGGCTATGCTGATTCCTATTAACAGAGGGTGGGGGCCAGTATTCTTACTGTAATTGTGTTTGAGACATTTTTCATTTTTATTTTATGGTGGTTGGATTTTTTATTTTTATTTTTTAAATCTGTCTTTCATATCCTGTGGGATTGGTTCTATATAATTCATCATGTACCCTTTGAACTCAGTGAAAGTTTTAATCAACAATCAGCAGATCCTAAAGCCTAATTTAGTCTTCAGACTTGCACACCTCATGTTGTAAACACTCATACATTCTGTAAAGTGAGGTCATGCCTGGGGAAACTCAACAGACCATGTGATAGTTGGTTTTAAATTCTACTCTATACAGTTTGATAAAGGGAATAGTATAGAGAGAGAAATAAAAGAACAAAGTACTTCTATGAAGTCTTTAAGGAAGACTACCCTAATTCATTTCATTATTTTGTTAGGTTTAGAAACACATAAAATGTGAGGGTTGCCATGTTGATTGGGTGTAGTTTACTGAAATAGAAACAAAGATATTTCTGAAACAAAAAATGTGCTCATGCCCAACAGGTAATCAACACAGTTCTTATGAAAACTTGTTTCCTTTGGCTGTTTTGTACAAATGCTGTTAGCAATGACAGTAAATATGAAATCTGGGTTATAAACTGATTTGGGAAAAAATGTGATAGTTGTATATTTAGTTTTGTTATATGGTACCTTATAATTTTGTTATATTATTTTCTTTTCCTCCCCTACTAATTGAATTAATAACTTTGAAAAAAGCCCAGGCTTTGTTTGAACATTTCTACTGAAGCAAGCAAGAGCTTTTGTGGAGAGCTGGATCTTGCCATCATTTTGCCTCTTTAAAAAAAATATTTATGCCATCTACAAATGGTTAAATGGCAGATTGTTTGTGTGCAAGAGCTGCAAGGCAGAGAGTGTTAAGAATGCATTGGCAGAGCCGCCAGAATGGCTTCAGCATATTCTGAGCACTGGGACAGCAATTCTTGGGTGCATAAACTACTGTTAAGCAAAGCTAGGAAATTAATGAGATTAGAAGGTAGTGTATATCACTAACTTAATCTGAGATCATTAGTCCCACTGCCTGAAAGCCCTAGGAAGGTCTGAAAAGTTTCTGAGCAGCATTGCCTCCCAGTTCCCAAGCAGTCTTTTTTTGAACCTATGACAACTGTATTTGTTTTTTCAAGTTCCAGAATAGTTCTGTATTTCATTTTGGTGTGGCAATTATAAAACATGATCCTCCAGATGAAGTACGTAGGCAAACCCCATTCAAATACTGGGAATATTTTCAGAATGGGACTTCATGTGAGAAATAAAGCAGTTGACCCTCAGTTATAGAAAACTGCTGACATATAGCTGATGTGAAGAGAGATGAAGAAGAGAGACCCTTTCCATTTCCAGACATATTACCCAAATTTCACATGTATTTTTTTGTTCCAGGGGTAGTCGCCGATTTAAAATGATAAGTGATTAGGAAGTTCTTTCATAGCCTTTAGTGGAATCTTTCAGCTGCGAGGGAAGAAAATGCCAGACCTGTCCAAAGAAAGTCTTCAATCGTTGCTGGAATGTGTGTCCAGCTTTTCTTTTTAATGGGGAATCTTAATTCATAGTTCATTTCTCAGTGACTTTCAAATAGTAGATGCTCAGTTTTAGCATTTGTTATTTCAGTTATAGCCACTGTTATCTTTAAGGAACGTTTCGTGACAGTCTTTCAGTCCTCAGTAGCACTTCTTTGTATTTTTAGGAATATTGTGTCATTCTCTGTCTAGTATAAAACAAACTTTACAACAGGTGACATCAGTGTTAGGGTCAATTTTGAGGTGGAGAATTTTTAAAGTGCAAAAGGCGCATGGGAAGCAGCTTTCACAGAGAAGCTGCTACTGTTTCTAAGTGTTTCTAAGGTCAATTCTGATTGTTGCTGTTGGGACTTTTTCAACGGTCTTTTTGCAAATCAAAAGCATAGGAAAGTTTGTCTTGACCTGTGCTGGTCAAATAAGCGTCCGGTGGATGCATGTTGTATTTGGGCAGTGTGGAAATGCCATGAATGGTAATGATCAGATGCCAGGCACAAAACTAGGGCTTGATGTGGGTTTTTTTTTGTTTTTGTTTTTTTTTTTTGGCAACCATAGAATTAAGGTGCAGAATTCCTATTGACATTAACTATAGTTTATCAGAAAGGAAAATATGTTTTATATTGGTACTGGAATATGTTTTAGGCTATTCTTGCATGTTTGCAGAGGGAAGGTAGAGTATTAGAAGCCTTTTTCTTCTCCCATGTCACCGGGTTGGGCACTGAGAAGTACAGTTACCATTGCTATGATGATCAACTCCTCTAGGAGACAAGAGTGATAGGGCTTTTGCTCCAGAAGGCATCATTGGCACGTCGCAGTCATCATCAGAAGGAAATAAAAGTTTCCTTTCACCCTGCAGCAAAGGGAAAAAATAAACAAAAATCCCAAACAAGAGTGGAATTCTAACTTGAGCTAGCATGAACTAGATTGTAGCTTCAAGTGCAAGTACTTAGTGCTGTCTGCACAAGCTGGAAATAAAGATAGCCCTTAATGATGTAGTTTTTCTTACAGCTTTCAAGGTCTGTGACAGAAGGTGTCTTGGCAGCTGTTCTGTTCCCCCTCTTTCAGTATGTAACACACTGGACTCCACTCTGTCTTTTTAATGTTCAAAGCTCCTCCCTGAATGCATTTTTAACTGTGTGAGATACTTAGTAACAGGGCTTTAAAAAATATAACGGAAAACCCTTGAAACTGTCATCTAGCTAAAAGGACCGTTCAGGTTATTCCAAGTTCCAGTCCGGAGTGACCCAGAGGGTGCCATGTGTGGCTTTCTTGGTGAAAGTAAGCTCGATCCTCATATATTTTAGTAACGCAGTATAGAAGTAATAGACGCAAGCCTGGCCAAATCCTCAGTACATCATACACCAAGGACTGCATCAGGTGGGGACGTCCTGTCTTCTCCAAGGCGTGGAAGACAAGCAGCACCAGTTCACATGCCATGAAGGACTTTTCCAAAAGGTTATTCTCCTTTTCTCTTTCCCATGTAGAAGGCAAGTCAAGGACCAGCATAAGTTTATTTTTCTCATTTCCTTATATGACAAGGAGTGAAGAATCATTGAATAATTGCCTAATGTCTAGACTTTACATGCAGTTGTCAGCATTTGCCTGACTTTTCTTTCTGTATTGCAAAATTTTACTAATTCCAGTGAATAGAATTAACAGAGAGAACACCAAGAGAGACAAAACATATGTGCGGTATTTACACGGCCACCAGATGACTGTGATCAGCATCCTGGAAACAATGTCAAATTTTTAAACTCTTTCATTTTCCAACTGGCTCAAATAGCAACCATTTGAGTTGACTTCTGCCATTTTGTGTACTGCTTTAGACACAGACCACTCACCACCATGTACAAAGGGCTTCTTACATCTGAAGAACACTGGAGTCAATGCATATGTTAACACCAGGATGACTGTGAATGGATTATCCTCCATTTTGGTTGTCCCTCACAAGCAAATAGAACTCTTTGTGTGGAGAGAAGTCAGAAAAGGAAAACACTGAGGCAAAAAAGAGAGTGTATGAACAGGGCAAAGAGAACAGATAGCCTGGGAGCAAGTTTTTTTGCAAAAGAGAAGCATGGGCACCATCTGCCAAGCTGTTCATTGAAATACAAGGTTTAATTCAACTCACCTAGACATATCTCTACTAAAATACTTACATATGTGTTTAGGTGTTTCAAATGTCTTGCTGAATTGGGGCCTTTAAAAGAAAAGTGGATTAAGAACAATGGAGAAAGGAAAATAAATACTTCCTTCTACAGGTGGAGTCTCAAGTTTCTTGTTAATGTACAAAAGAGTTTTCTGAAATATTTGCAAGGTGAAATAATTTATTACTGTAAGTTTGTTTAAAAAAAGTTCTTGTTTTGCGGGTTTCTTGTCTAATTATGTTTGTGGATCACAAATAAATTTTTACTTTACCCTAAGCATTAAACTTAACTGAGAAAAAATGTCACTTTTTTATTTTTTCCAGAAACGAGAAGGAATCCTCCAGTCTCGACAAATCCAAGAGGAAATAACTGGTAACACTGAGTATGTCAACACCACTTTTGCCAGCAGTTCAATAATTGAACACAGATGCGTCTCAGAAATTCAAACATTTGCTGATATTTAGATTTTGGTATTGGGGTTCCAGAGAAGATGATGCAGCAGCCAGTGATGTATTTTAGCCTCTTCAAGAGCTGCAAACGTGCATCTAAAAATACAAAAGGATGAGGAAATGCAGAGCTGGGGAACTACAAGCAGGAGACCAGGATAAAAGAGAAGACAGAGTGAAGATATACAAAATCTCTATTTTATAATTATCTACTATTAATTTATTTCTGTATTATTATATTTCTTATTATTTTATTCAAAGGTCCTTCAAAAAAACAAGAAAGATATGCCTCATTCTTTTATGTTGGTATTTATTTGATAGATAACTAGATTCTTTCAAAAAGGAGTGTGATATGACTATTTCTAGGTGTTTGGACTTTGGGGATGTAAAGTGATGGTAGCCAGCCCTGTACGTGTCTTCTCACTGAACAAATTATAACAGAAAAGTTATTCCAAACCAACGGAAAGCAATACTAGGATATCCTAGTTTATAATAGAATGGAGAGAAGCCAGAGTATTGACTTAGTATTAATCTTTATGGATTTGTTTATGTGTAATAGTTGTATGACAGATCAACTGGAGCAAAATGCTGCAGTCCTTAAGAACACAGTCCAAGCATTGTTTTGGCTGGAATTGTATTGTAGTTGGGGTGATAAATGCATCTTAAATGGAAAAGTTTTCAGAAAATGAAAAATCCTTCTTCACTCAGGCAAGGTGTGTTCATTTGGTTCAATAGTAGGAAATCTGAGATCTAGCCTCCCATGAGACTTTAGTAAAGCCAGGAGATATTATACTGATGGACTCCAGACTAATCCAGATTCTCAGTTGGACTAACTTGATGAAGGTTTTCTTAATTCTGTGCATCTACTCCAGTTTTCACCAAGCTGAAGATCTGGCCACGTATGCTGTTTTCTTTTGCAGCCCAACGTCTGCAAGTGAATTATACATAACTCTGTTTTGTTCTTTTTGTTGTTTGTTTTTGTTTGTTTGTTTGTTTGTTTGTTTGTTTTTTATAGGGCATTATCAGGAAGGCATGGTAAGTTCATTTTATTATTGTCTTTTTCTTGAGGCAGCCAAAATATACATTAGTTCTGTAATGGGTGATCACTTTGATCAAACTGCAAGGAAGTAGAGGATTTCTACTTGCCCTGGCAAATACGTAAATATCTGCACCACAGGCTATTGTGGCAGTTAACAAAAGGAAAAAAGCATTAAAATCAGTCTGACCATCTTTAAAACACATTTCATTGCTTTTCAGCACATGTTAATTTGCAGGTGCTTTGTGGTTTAACCTCTAGGACATTACTGTAACAGTATTAATGGTCATAAGTTCCCAGCATAATATGAAATGATGTCTTATCATAAATGAGATGGTGAACATGTTGGCATTCTTGCATACGTTACCTACTTATACTTTAATGACTTTGAGTCATTAGTCAGCAGGCCTAAACACCATGCAAATTCCTGTGCCTACTATGTCTTACTGCTAGTATTGAGACTGGCCAAATGCCTGGCCAACAGAAAACACTCATCTGAGGAGCTTAGGTGGAGTCCCACCAAGAATTTAGCATTTGGTTCTTGTATTATTTCAATGACTGGCTTAAAGCTGGTTTAAAAAAGCTACATGCATGACCTCTTTTCCCCATGATATCCCTGAGCAGTCTTTCTATAAAGTCTGCCTTCCACAAATGCCGTTGGATCTACTCTAGCATTTTTTTTTTTATTGAGGAATATGAATGTAGCTTTTTGTGGAGTCATTCACTATCATTCAGGTGGTTGTTAAAATGGAAATTGCTTAGAAAAGGCTCTGGTGCTTTTTAAATTATTTTTTTTCTGCTTTCTTCAGAAGGTGACTAGAGTAGCACTCCAGTAATGCTAGCCTAGTTTGCCTCTCCTGCTGATAATGTCCTAAACTGCATATCAGAATGGCCTAAAAACATCTATACAAAGGATTGTGTTGCAACTGTGTAATCGTAAGCTTTCTTGAGGTGGTTAATAATATAGCACACCACAATGCAGTCAGTGGCCCATGGGGAAAATCTTCCTCTGTAGATGTAGTGACTCTAGATGTAAACTTATGTTCTTCTGCACAAAATTATTTGGTTACTTAGCTCCCTGTACCTGGCTGTTTAAGGTTTTATGCATAAAGATACCATTCTTTGTTAATTTTTGAGAAAAAGGGTTATTAGGTAATCCAAATCCTACTTGAAAGTGGTGCTTTTTGAAATTAATAGAGAATAAGTTACTAAGAGCTTATAGCAAGAGAGCGTATGAAAAATAGATGGTACTTGGAATACAAAGAGACTATATTGAAACCTTTTGCTCGCTGTTACACAGTCTCAAACAAGTATGTTTCTTAAGCGTTTATTCTGCATTTGGACAACTGCTGCTCAGTATATTAATATCTCTGAATGTTTTTCAGAGAGAGATGCATTTGATACTCTATTTGACCATGCTCCAGACAAGCTCAATGTAGTGAAAAAGGTTGGAAGGTTTTTATTTTTAAAATACATAACGTGTGCATGTGCATGCTTGTGTGTATCTGTTTGTACATATGTAGTGTATGTGTATGTATATAATATATAATTGGCATAGTTTGCATACATTAACTACAATTAAGCTTTATGCTTAAACAAATATACAAATTCCTTATTATGATGTTACTTTTTATTAATATTTAGCAGCATGAACTTAACTTTGGAACACAGAACAACATGTAGTTATCAAAGTTTCCATCAAAAAGAAGTTCTCACAAAGTGTGTGTTGAGTAGAACCCAACTGGTAGATTGAGTGTACTGATGCCAAAGAGGTATCCAGTTTACAACCGCCAGGGGTCTGACCTAGAGTATTTTGGCTGCTTTCAGATATGAGTGGAGTCCAATTACTCACTTCCTTATACTCTGCTACAAGGGTTTTTTTAAGACTATTTAATGTTTTAGCAGTGTATTTTTATTTATATGCATCACATTCATTTTATTTCTGTTCTTCATTCTTGGAAAATAAGATTTAATGTCATATTTCAGTTTTAAACCTTAGAAGTTGTGTTGCAGTGTCTTTACTCATGCAGATTCTTTTCTGAGTGGAGTTCATACTGCATGCGTTGAATTACTGCCCTACTGAATAGGCCTTCACTACATTGTTTTCATATTTCAGACTCTCATCACCTTTGTGAACAAGCATCTGAATAAATTGAATTTGGAGGTCACTGAACTGGAGACCCAGGTAGGATTTTACAGCCTTTCTTAAAGGGGAGGGATAGCTGCACTGTGTTATTCACTATGCCCCCAACTTTATCCAGAAATTTCATTGAATTATTATTGATTGAGCTCTAAGATGTTATTTCAGTGGGAAACTCTTCAGTTCTAAATATCAAGCTGTATTTGAAGGGGGAAAGGGATAAAACCAGGCTTGCTAGAGATACACCTGGGAGTGGCATGCCAGCGTTTGAGGGACAATGTGCTAGCAGGGTCCTTTGGTCTGCCATCATACTTGAGGTAGGGGGATGGAGATCCATGCGGCAGCAAAGATGCAAGGGTTATCGATGTGTTAGAAACCATGGAAGCACCGGAGAATTGTCACGTAGGAATTAGGGCTTCTCCCTGACAAAAGGTGGCGGGACCAATAGCTCAACTGAAGTGCATCTACACCAATGCATGCAGCATGGGCAGCAAACAGGAGAAGCTGGAAGCCATTGTGCAGGAGGAAGACGATATAGTTGCCATCATGGAAACATGGTGGAATGACTTGCACAACTGGAGTGCTGCAATGGGTGGCTATAAACGCTTCAGAAAGGGTAGGCAAGGAAGGAGAGGTGGTGGAGTAGCCCTGTATGTTAGGGAGTGTTTTGATTGTCTAGAGCTTAATAATGGTGATGATAGGGTTGAGTGCTTATGGATAAGAATCAGGGGGAAGGCCAACAAGGCAGGTATCGTGGTGGGAGTCTGTTATAGACCACCCAACCAGGATGAAGAGGCAGATGAAATATTCTATAAGGAGCTGGGAGAAGTCTCACAATTGCTAACCCTTTTTCTTGTGGGGGACTTCAACTTACCAGTTCTCTGCTGGAAATACAATACAGTGGAGAGGAAACAGTATAGGAGGTTCTTGGAGTGTGTGGCAAATAACTTCCTGATATAGCTGGTGAATGAGCCAACTAAGGAAGGTGCCCTGCCGGACCTGTTGTTTGTGAACAGAGAAGGACTTGGTGCTGTGATGGTTGGAGGCTGTCTTGGGCATAGCGATCACGAAATTACAGATTTTTTGATTCTCGGAGAAGTAAGGAGAGGGGTCAGCAGGACTGCCACCTTGGACTTCCAGAGGGCAGACTTCGGCCTTTTTCGGAGCCTGGTTGATAGAGTCCTTTGGGAGGCAGTCCTGAAAGGCAAAGGAGTCCAGGAAGGCTGGACATTCTTCAAGAAGGAAATCTTAAAGGCGCAGGAGCAGGACAAAAGACAAGCTGGGGGCAAAGACCCCCAGCCTGGCTGAACAGAGAGCTTTGGCTAGAACTTGGGGAAAAAAATAAGAGTTTATGACCTTGGGAAGAAGGGGCAGGCAACTCAGAAGGACTACAAAGATGTCGTGAGGTTATGCAGGGGGAAAATTAGGAGGGCCAAAGCCCACCTAGAAGTTAATCTGTCTACTGCCGTAGAAGACAATAAAAAATGTTTCTATAAATACATTACCAACAAAAGGATGGCTAAGGAGAATCTCCATCCTTTATTGCATGTGGGGGGAAACATAGTGACAAAGGATGAGGAAAAGGCTGAGGTTATTAATGTTTTCTTTGCCTCAGTCTTTAACAGCAAGACCAGTTATCCTCCAGGTACCCAGCCCCTTGAGCTGGAAGACAAGGACGGGAGCAGAATGAAGCCCCCATAATCCAAGGGGAAATGGTGAATGAACTGCTACACTGCTTAGACATACACAAATCTATGGGGCTGAGAGAGCTGACAGAAGTGCTCACCAAGCTACTCTCCATCATTTATCAGCTGTCCTGGCTAACTGGGGAGGTCTCATAGCAAATGTGATCACCCTCTACAAGAAGGACCAGAAGGAGGATCCAGGGAACTGCAGGCCTGTCAGTCTGACCTTAGTGCTGGGGAAAGTTATGGAGCAGATCGTCTTGAGTGGCATCATGCAGCATGTACAGGGCAACCAGGTGATCAGGCCCAGTCAGCATAGGTTTATGAAAGGCAAGTCCTGCTTGACCGACCTGATCTCCTTCTATGACAAGGTGACCTGCTTAGTGGATGAGGGAAAGGCTGTGGATGTTGTCTACCTAGACTTTAGTAAATCCTCTGACACCATTTCCCACAGAATGCTCCTGGAGAAACTGTCTGCTCATGGCTTGGACAGGTATACTCTTCACTGAGTAAAAAACTGTCTGGATGGCTGGGCCCAGAGAGTCGTGGTGAATGAAGTTAAACCCAGTTGGTGGCTGGTCACAAGTGGTGTTCCCCAGGGCTCAGTACTGGGGCCAGTTCTGTTTAATATCTTTATCAATGCTCTGGATGAGGGTATGGAGTGCACTCTCAATAAGTTGGCAGATGACACCAAGTTGGGCAGGAGTCTTGATCTGCTCAAGGGCAGGAAGGCTCTGCAGAGGGATCTGGACAGGCTGGATCGATGGGCTGAGGTCAGTTGTATGCGGTTTAATAAGGGCAAGTGCTGGGTCCTACACTTGGGTCACAACAACCCCATGCAACGCTACACGCTTGGGGAGGAGTGGCTGGAGAGCTGCCTGGCGGAAAAGAACCTGGGGGTGCTGGTTGACAGCCGGCTGAACATGAGCCGGCAGTGTGCCCAGGTGGCCAAGAAGGCCAACAGCGTCCTGGCCTGTATCAGCAATAGTGTGGCCAGAAGGAGTAGGGAAGTGATTGTGCTCCTGTCCTTGGCACTGGTGAGGCCGCACCTTGAATCCTGTGTTCAGTTTTGGGCCCCTCACTACAAGAAGGATGCTGAGGTGCGGGAGCGTGTCCAGAGAAAGAGCAAAAAAGCTGGTGAGGGGTCTGGAGCACAAGTCTTAAGAGGAGCGGCTGAGGGAACTGGGGTTGTTTAGTCTGGAGAAAAGGAGGCTGAGGGGAGACCTTATCACTCTCTACAATTACCTGAAAGGAGGTTGTAGCATGGAGGTTGTCAGTCTCTTCTCCCAAGTGACAAGCGATAGGACAAGAAGAAATGGCCTCAAGTTGCACTAGGGGAGGTTTAGGTTGGATATTAGGAAAAATTTCTTCACCAAAAGGGTTGTCAAGCATTGGAATAGGCTACCCAGTGAAGTGGTGGAGTTACCATCACTGGAGGTGTTTAAAAGACATGTAGATGTGGCACTTAGGGACATGGTTTAGTGGTGGACTTGGCACTGCTAAGTTAACGGTTGGACTTCATGATCTTACAGTTCTTTTCCAACCTAAATGATTCTCTGATTCTAAGATCCTTGCCAATTAAGCAGAGAAATCACGAGGGCAGCTAAATTTCTCTAAAACAGTTTTGTACTTCCATTAGCATAAAAATTAATTAGCAGATGCCACCTCTGGGGCACTGTCAAGTGCTGTAAGCAGAACCTGTGCTTGTTTTGTTCAGGAAAAGCTGTGTCCTCTTGGTTTAATCCAAAGTCAAGCTGAACAGTTGTTTCCTGCCTACCTTTACACAAGCATGCAATTGCATGGGATTACAATGACTCTATTCAGTGAGATATATTTGAATCTCTCTCTCTCTCAAATATATATATATTTGAGAGTAAGGCTACTCAAGTGTATTGGCAGCTGTACAGTTAGGCTGCAGGCTTGGTTGCACCACAGAAATAATGTGGTACATGGTCGTCTTGTTCTCAGCTGCGAAATTGGCTGGAAAGAAGCTAAAAGAAAAGCTCAATCCTGCTGTATTAATGCCTCCCCATGTAAACAATTGCAGCAGTTATCATCAGAAAATTACAAAGGCAGGCACGAAGGATGGTATCTGCACTATCAAAAAACCCCCAGATGTCTTCAGGACAGGCTTTATTTTATGTCTTGATTCATGTTATTAAGGATCTCTAATTTCTTTGAATAGCTATCAGTCTGATAGAGATTTTTCAAAGGTAAAATTAAGATTTAGGTGGAAATAATGTGTAAGAGCTTTCAGAAAGGTGTTTTCTATGCCTGCTTATTACATTGTTTACTTTTGGAAAAAACATATTATTCAAATGTGCCTAGAAACCCCTTAAGCATTTATCTGAAACAGTATCTCCTAAGATGAGAGATTGTATTTCTATCACTTGAAAGAAAATTGTCTACCTTAGGAAGGTGATAGGTTGCTTCAGATAACTCTGATTGTGAGGATATCTCAGTGCACATATAGACCTAATCCCACAGGGGTACGAGTGAGAGACCTTTAACAAAATCTTATGGACGTTGCTATTTTTATAGATAAAAATGAACACGTATCATAGCAGTGAGATATCTTCCATCTGTAATTACATACACTTAAACTTAGATTGACACAGACTTGCAGAACATGGATGAAGCTGATTCTTTGTTCCTTGATTTCCTCCATAATAGGAGGAATTTCAGTGCACTCATGAGATTGCACCTTCATTCTGTTTTTCTCTGCTCAGGGAATGCATGCCATTTGAGAGCTTGAAAGGTAGCTGTTCTGATTCCCCGCAACTAGTAGAATAGAAAGCAAAGGCATAGATCAAAGCCACTGACCACCTCTCTTTCCAGAACTTTGTTCTGCGTGTGTATTTTAGCATTAGGTCAGTTTTGGAGAAGACATAGGATGTACTAACTAAATAAAAGGAATCAGAAGTGAGGTGAGATCTTTTAGTTGCAATTAAAAATATTTGTATTAGTAGTTTGTTGACAGTTCTGCATTAGACAATATATAGCTTGTTCATTAAGCAAAGCAATGAGTTATTCTTCAGAGAATACTGAGAAATGTCTTTTTTACAGTTTGCAGATGGTGTGTACTTAGTCCTGCTAATGGGTCTTCTAGAAGGCTATTTTGTTCCTCTGCACAGCTTTTTCTTGACTCCTGATAGTTTTGAACAAAAGGTAATTAGATTTCATTTTTCTGTTTAAAAACAAATAAATGTATAACATGCCTAGTAGTGCAAAGATGACACAGACTTTGCTGCATGTTTGATATAAATAGCTGAAATTAAGAAAGGACTGTATTGCTAACCATTTCCAAGCATTTTTAAGATCTCAGTATTAATGCTTATTCGGAATAAAAGGGAAAATTATATTAAAGATGGGGTGGTTAGCAAGTATTAACTGATTTTGGCAGCCATTATGTGATGCTGTCATTGAACCAGACTTACTGTTCATTAAGTGCATAAAGAATTATACACACGAATTGATGACAGAACTGATTTTTGTGTGTAAAATCCAAGAATTTAACATTCGAAAGGTTTCATGTTTTTTGGAAGCATAAAAGTATATATGTGCTATGTATCATTTTAAGACCAACCATTACCCTAGTGTCTGTTGGTATCCAGGAAATTCAGCTGTCTATTTAAGACAAGAGCATTTCATGGGCCATCATGTTCCAATTTTTAAACTTGCGGGAGGTGGGCTATTCTTACTGGTAAGTAATTTTTCTATGGGTAATATTTGTTCACATGTTATTTTTCAATTACTTTTATATGCCTAAAACCACCATCACCACACAGAAAAAGTAAAACCAAAAAAAGTAAAACAATGGGTTTTCTGGATTCCATGGACCCGATCTTCCGTTGATATATAGAGCCCAGACTACTTTTTCCTTCTGAGCATCTGGGTCTGCAGCTTTAAATACATCTTAGTTTGACCATTTGTACTATATTGTATATAGTTCACAATAATGACTACCTTTATTGTATTACTAGGTTCTCAATGTATCCTTTGCATTTGAGCTAATGCAAGATGGTGGATTGGAAAAACCAAAGCCAAGACCAGAAGGTATCTATTCTACCTCTTTTTGTATCTCCTTAAAAATTTGCGTTGGATCCAGATTTTATCTCATTGGATTATGGTATAGCTAAATGAAGGTTAAAATGTTAATCCAAGAGCGAAAGGCAGGATACATTTTGAAGTGCTTGGGTAACTCTGTATTTTAAATGGATCCTAGATATGCTTTTTCAAATGTTGCAAGGTTTCCTTTCTTGAACCGCCAGGGTAAGATTTGCATGACCAAACATATGCCGTAATACTCAGATATTCACTGAAAGAAAAAGAATACAACTGTGAATGGTGTCACTGGCAGATATGAATTGCTCCGATTGCTCCATTTTCCCCCATCGCATGTCTTCGTACTAAACGTCAAGTATTCCAGTGTAATTTACAAGATTTTCACAAAAAGAGGTAGATGTTGTGGAAGAAGAATTTCAAATGTTCATATAACTGCCTTTGAATGCAGGACCTAATCATGCATATTTAAATTAGATTTAGAGCTAGAGACTGAAAGTAAAATGTATCTTCAGGGAAGATGAAGGTTTTGCTGCTGACTTCAGCAGGACCAGGGTTCCACTCCTCTTTGTGCATTTAAACCTGGGGTTTAAATCCAGCTTTTCGGGCTGGATATAGAGCCCTTGATTCACCATGTTATAAGGTAGTCTTGTGGTTCCTCCCGTGAGAAGTTACCACTTCTTACCATGCAGGAGCTGGACATGCAGCTTCTGCTCCACTGTTCCTAACAGGAGTGATAGCTGGGCTTCTGCCAGTTACCTAGCAAAATAATCAATACATATGTGTTTTCAAGAGCCATTACAGATTCACATTCAATGGTGCACACAGTCTTTTCCTGCCGTAATATTGGATTGTCGTTCCCTGAGGAGTTAATATAAGCTAATGCTCAGAGTTTTACTTCTAATAGTAAGGGAATCTCTGGAGATTCAGGCACACATCACTGAATCAAGTTCTGCTCCATTCTGCTTATTTTCCATCCCTCACAACTTCCGGATCATAACAGCAGCAGACATACACACACATACATGAAAATGTGTCTCAGGATTGAGCCTGTGCTGCCTATGCATTTAATCTGGACCTAGCCAGCCTATTTTTTCCACTTCTTTTGGTTGCTTGAACCCCTATCCACAATCATGCTTAACTAAGCTAATGGTGGCTGTATCACAAACTTTTATGTTTGAAATAGTCAAAGAGAGGAGGGGGAAATAGTGAAATCTAGGGATCCAAGTAAAACAGAGGGTATCTGTGATCCCTTACTCCCCATGGAGGTTTAAAATTCTTATGGCATTTAATTTTTCAGGTATTTATTGCTCTAGGGGACAGCTAATTTTTCCAGTATAAATCAAGCCATAAGGATATTTCAGCATATATAAGACATTTCTTGTGCAATTACTGAAATGCTTAATATGAAACTTCCTGCCCAATGTGAATGGAAAAACACATCTGTTTTATGTGTTGTTACATTGGGCACAATGCCCGTACTTAAAATTTCCAGTGAGCAAAAGAGTATTGAAAAGGATCTTACCCTAAATGTGTATACTAAATACTCTTTAAATTCCTACACTGTTTCTTTGAGGTTCTTGAGGAAAAAATATGCTGAAAAGTGCTTTAGAATATGAAAAACATATTTAGGGGAAAAAAGAATGCGGTTAAATAAATAAGTATGAAAACCAATGATTTTTATGGGGTCAACAGTTTATTTGGGTTGTTTGCAATATAATTGGAAAGGTATTAAAAAGCTTTCCGTGACCTTTTACTTCAAAAATGGTTGGAACATTAACCTACTGAGTCTATAACAAATTCATTTGCAGTTTGAGCTTTTTCAGATTACTTCTTGAAATGCATACATCAAAGCCAAACTCAAGTTTCTCTTTTTGAAAATTGCAACCAGTAAAATGTTACATATGTTGGTCAAACACATGTAGCAATGGAAATAACTCATCTTTCTCTGGGAGCGTGCTTCTTTTTAGTTTGGATCTTTCTGTGGAATTCTGTTGTGGTGGTGGAGTCTTCTGGTAATTTTGCAAAGACCTGTCAAGTTTACCTCTTTATTCATTTGAAGTTCTGTATTAGGAAATGAAGGTGTTATGCAGCTTGCTGCTGGCCTGAAAGAGGAAACTTCCTGAATTATATGCAAACGGTATTGCAGAGTATAACATGACGTTGTGGGAGCAACGTGCCCTTCCTGTATTTAGCTTTTGGCATTTTCTCTGCATTTTATACCAAGCATTTTTGATCCGATTTATTAAGAGCCACAAAACCATGTGGCCGTGGTTTCATGACCATGCATAGGCTCAGCATAAAATCGAGGTTTGAGTGCTTTCACCCTTTGTCCATGGATGTCCTTTTGCCATGTAGCTAATATCTTTAGCCCTTCAAAGTTTACATGCTTTGGGACACCATGTATAGGTTTGATTGGATTAATTCTTCAAAATATAACCCCTTCACAGTCTGTGAGAAACATCAGTGTAGATAAATATAATCGCAAAACTGTCTGATGATTATATACGCAATTTACTAGGCTTACTTGAAGGTTTTGAAGACTGTGGGAGTATGCACACCATCTGCTTTACACTTCAATGGCCAATTCCAAGTACCAAAGTTAGGAGACTGAGTTCCTATACAGTCAACAGAAAGAGACAGGACAATTCTTATTCTATTCTATTCTATTCTATTCTATACTATTCTTTCTGAGGGCAATTCTAAGTCCCTATTTGAGATTGAGTATTCCTTGAAGCGCTAGTGTAGACTGCTGCGGTAGTGCTTGTCAGTTTGTTTTATAGATTTCTTGTGAAATAATATTGACTTTCTCAACAACTTCTCTTGGAAACAGCAGGTATTCATTAGTTTTTTGTTTCATATAAATCCTTTACTTTAGATGTTGAATTTCTAAGGACTGATTCAGCCATGTACATCAGCTAACCCAAAGTACTTTCAGAAGTGTCTTCAAGGGGCACTTGTATACCTAGCTTCTTTAGATCTTTAGAAAATTTAAACCTGCCTCTAGCTATTTTGCTGAAATTAGTCCTAATAAAGGATGTTGCAGCCCAGAATAGTTCCATTGGTTCCTGCCTGATTTTTTTTTTCAAAATCATTACTTTTCGGCAACAACTGACTGAAGATTCAGTCGTATAAATATACATGATCATAGGCACAGTTTGTCTCGTGGGCATCTAAACCTTGGTTGCGTTCCTACATCAGCACCATTAGCCATTTGTATCCCTAACTAAAAGTGGTTGAAATAACGATTTTTGAGTTGCTAGTTTAAAAACTGCTTGCTTTATGTTTCTACTCTTTCTTACTATCTTTGTGATTCAAATGTTCATGGATATGGATCTGAGCAAGCAAAGGGCGTACTTTGTCTGAAAATGCTTTGAGTTAATGAAGTCACTAATGTTCTTTTCCCTTGTCTTTTTTTCTAGATATTGTAAATTGTGACTTGAAGTCTACACTGAGAGTACTGTACAATTTGTTTACCAAATACAGGAATGTGGAGTGAAGAATTTATTTGGGACATAAAGGAGTGTTAACAAAGAAAGCATCATAACTAGCATATTCTTCATTGGTATTCTTCTGCATCTTTATCCTAAAAGGAACTAAACCATTTATTTGAAGAACTTTTAATTGATTATTCTTGCACTACTATTTTCATAGTAGATTTAAAAGTAATATAAATTATGAAGAAAAAGGTTTGGAGGAAGATATTTGAGTATATTCTGGGAGAGTTCATGCCTCAGTAATAACTGTCTTCACACTGGTTTGTAGTAGGTGAAGCAAGAATGAAAAAAAGATTTAGTAACTAATTCAAGTCAGCCTTTGAAGTCAATCATAGGAAGATTCAGCACTGAGTATCTATTTTAATGTTTTTTACATACTACTTTTCTAATCTGAGGATTTTCTATCCATGGTAAGATGGTTGCATGCTTATTATGAGAAATGTGTGTGGGGAGAAACAGTTAAATACTCTTGTTCACTTCACAGCTAAAACGAAGAGACTTTCTCAAGCACTTAACCTGATTAATTCATATTTCCAGTGCTGTTAGGCTTGAATTTTATGGGTACAAACTGAAGTGGCTACTCATTCCTTCAGACTTACTATAATGTGATACGCTGCTTAAATCTGTGTTATTGAGCATTCCGCATAAGCACACTTTGCAGCTTTCACTTGGTTTTGTTTGAGGAAGAGATCTTTTTTGCAAAGTACACAATTCAGGAAAACATACCTGTATAACATCATTTTTCCCTATAATGTTTCTATTATTACATAGTATTAGAAAGTAAGGGAATGGCTTCATTTTCTTTTTAGTAGTTTAAATACAGGATTGCCAGGTTGCAAGGATAGATTTATTGCTAAATAGGATTTAGAATCTGTCCCTTTTAGTTGATTTTACGATGAATGTATTTTGCTGCATAATGTCCAACACAAAAAATTATTTTCCACTTATTTTCCAGAAATATTCCTGTAGCCTTTCAGATAAAAGCAGTGCTTTTATAGGTCAAAACTACCCCATCTGCAAAGACTTCATTACAGCGTAAGATTCTTTGGCCATTTTACATGGCTATGAAGAGTACTTTTTTCTAATCATAACCAAGTATAAGCTGTTATCTGTTTGGCTTTAGCTTTAATAAAGACACAACAGAGAAACGGGAGTTGATTCTTCCCTTAGACTTGATATCAAGCACCAGTTATGTTTCCATAAAGAAGCTGATAGAGACTGCCTGACATGAGTGTTAATCATCAAAAAACTGCACTGGCAGAAGTTGAAGAGTAAACTAATAATTTGCTAGAAGTCTTGATGTTAGTATTAGATACCTTTCTAAAAGAAGTGTTCCAATGCAAACACAGGTTCTTGGGATCCTGGGTTACATGGTAAGGAAAAAAAATCCTTAGGCAGAACTTTCTGGACGACTGTTTAGAAATCTTTGGACTGCTTAGTGCAGGAAGGAGACTTGTTAATAGTCATCCAATTATGGCAGAACTGGTATAGGTGAGAAGGAAAGCAATCTGTCAGCTCTTGAGTCTGTTCATCTGAAGAAATGCAGTGCTGGCAAGAACAGTCAGTAACAGCTGTATGTTACTTAGTGTATAAAGCATTACATATTTTTCAGTTTTCCCAGGGCTTTTTTTTTTTTAATGTAGAGTTTTCCAGTGCAACATTAGCATAAAGGGAAGACTAGCAATTACGTTCTGTCTTTGATGAACACTAACTGATGTTTAATAACAAGATGATACTGGCTTCTGCTGGGCCGCCACAGAAAATATTATCCTGAGAAGTAAATAACAACTTGTGCAAAGGAAAATCAGTATTTAATTCAAAGGACAATATCTGAATGTTCTTGGAATTCAGAAATTGTTATCTGATTGTTATAAGCTTTCTAAATATCTTTATTAAAATACTTTTTTACCTTTCTATTTTTAACTAAGTTTCTGAAATTAGAGGTGCAGAGCATAACTATTATTTGCCTGTTATGCAGGTAAATAAGTGGACATTTTGACCTTTGTGAAAATGAACATGTTTTTATTATATCTTTAATATTTGAGAGGCTAAATGATAGGAAGTAACAAAGCATTTTTTCAGCAAACTGGGACAGAACTTCTCATGTGTGTACCAGCAGCAATTTTAGCTTATTTTAATGTTTCACATGTAAGTTTTTCATTTACACACCTAGATTGCAGTAATTGTAATTGTTAATTAAAAAATGTATTATGGTTTTTCTGCAGATCATGCTCAGCTGAAATACTTTTTTACATCTCGGCAATGCCAAAACATTTTGATTGCCCTTGTTTTCAGGACTGCACTTTCTTTAAAGAGGAGATTTATATATGTAAAGGAAAAAGGTTAGAAACAGTGAAACTTGTTTTTGCCTGGACTTGAAAATAAGTATTCCTATGCTATATTGGTGTAACATTATTGGAGATCTCGAAGTCTGTCAGACTCTATTTGCCATCCTTAAAAAACATAACACTGAAACAGAATGATGAAATCCTCATGCTGAAATACAATTATGCAGAACCATAGAAACATTTAAACAATATCCAACCTTTACACAATTATCAATCCTATGGTAAGAATTTATGTAAATTAAAATCTGCTATATAAACAAGAGTGTCCTATGTAAATACAGACCGATGCGATAGTTTTAATACATTCACAGAAATAGTATATGCTGCCATGTAGGAGTGGGTCACTGCTTATATTTTTGACAGTGTAGATTTAAATAGCTATCAGATAAATATGAAATCTAATATACAGATTATATCTAATATTTATTGCTTTGATACAGAATATTATAGAAATATAGAATACTACTGTAGACAGTTTGCTTTTCAGCAATCAGTGTAGGCCAGCACCTTCCTTTGGGGAAGTGAAATGTTAAGTTAGCTGTGCCAAATTCTGCTGATTCCTATGATGCTTTTATTCTTGATACACAGCCGTGTATGCTGATGTACAGCTGAATGCAGAATTTTCCTCACTGTTTATATTAAGATAGAAGTTGTTTAAGTTTTAGGTCAATCCTGGTTTTATTTATAATTACTTTAAATGGTTAAGTAGATCCAAATCAATGGATTTAGCCCATGTAAGATATGAATACTCACCTGGAGAGGCCAGTTTCTTCACTGGTCCTGGAGGGAGCCTCTGGTCTCGAGACTGCTATCTCAGCACTTTGGCTAGGTTTGTAAAGCCGGGTAGTATGAATCCAAGCCACTGCCTTAAGATCTCATGGTGGTATTTGGATCTCATCCACCAGACCAATGTGCTTGTCTTTGTGCTCTGTCACATGAAGGCCCACAGGTAGCTGAGTCCACCGAAAACTGGCAGATTATTAGCCTCCCTTGAGTAACAAACAAACAGTGACCATTTCTGCTGCTGGGGCATTATGAAACTGCCATAAGAACAGAGTTTTCGGTGCTTCTCTGACTTCTAATCCATCCATTGCATCCAGCAATATGGTATCCAGATTTGTTTTGTGGTTGGAGATAGACATCCTTTCCCTATTGATGGATCCTGGCATGCTCTGTCAACCACACAAAACTGTTATTTTTTTCAAAGAGGAGCTACAGATTCTTGACAGTATGTCAAAAAGATGTTGTCAAAATAATTATCTAAAATCCTAATATCTTGAGGTCAGCTCCTTTCAGATTGCTTTCCCAACTGACTGGCATTTAGTTGCCATAAAGAACAGGCCCTAGAAAAAAGGTATTGAAGGAATATTTGCATAATTTTACCCGAGGCACATACATAAAGCCCAGAATTGGATTGCGGTATATTTCTGATGGAGTACAGACACACCGAGTTTCTTACTAAATGAGCTGACTGCAGAATATCTAGTTAGTGTTTCTTAGTCAGTAGATTAGTCAGTGTTTGCATTTCTTAGTCAGTAGATATCTTCCTGTTACGGGGGGCAGCAGCCCTTGCAGCTACATAGTTCAGGAATTCAAGCGGACCAGCAAGTGCTGGACAAGGTCCTAATCTACTCCAGTTGACTATGGACCAAGTTGCTGATTGGGATATCTCCATGTAAACCTGTGGCATTAAATCAACAGAGCATTTGGTCCTTTCTGTTTTACAGAGGGTTACAGTACTTGGGAATGGTTTACATTCAGGCAGTCTATATTGCTTGAGGTAAATGCTACTCGGTTGACCTTTGTTCTTACTTATTTTCATAAAGTATGTTTTTAAATTCATGTTTCAGATTAATTTAGCAGACACCTTACTGCAAGCCACAGTGTTGTAAAGCAGAATGGCTTTTACAGGTAATGGGGTTTATGTCATTCGGGAAAGATATATATGATATTTAGTATACTAGATACTAGCTGTAGGTCTAGTTTTTGTTATCCTTGTCTTCATATCAAAACAGCCTTCGTAAATGGCTTGTGTGTGTGCCAAGCACCCAAAGAGGGAACAGTGCCTTGAAGACCTCTTGCAAGATTTTCTACACTGTTACCCAATAGACTTTTGTCATTTTACTATAAGAATTAGTGTGGGTTTTGTCTTTACAGTTAAAGTACAATTAAAGGCTGAAAAAATCCTTTGTAGAAAGTTATAATTAAAGTAAGAAATTTTGTTTTGATGTATCACATGAAAAATGGAGATAGCAGCACCAAAATTCCAAAATTATGCATACCTCAGCATCCACAGATTTTTCCAAAGAGGTTTTGAGTCCTTTAACGTTTACTAGGGCTAATTTTATGTGTTCTGACAATATTTTCCATGTGACTGTTTCTTTTTGCAATAATGAGATTTTCTTTTCTGTCTACCAGTTTAATACTATACACTCTGCAACAATTTTAGTGTCACTGAAATATTTGGTTCTTAATTTCAATATCAAACTAATTGAGAAAAAAGAATATTTACAAAATTTGCATCTTAGTGGGTATCTGAAAATAATAGTTGGTTTAAATTAAGCTGCATTGCCTTCAACTGCAGAGTTAGTAGCTTTCACAGAATATATTTTATGTACTCTGTAAGTAAGGGACACACTATTGCTGACTTTTTT